CAGAAGGCGCGCTTGGCGTTTGCCAGATTGCGTCGTCTATGGTGGCGGTGACATATCCGATCACCAGTTGAAGAACGAGTATACTGCACTACAGTCCATTCTGTCCTGTTCTGTGGCTGAGACATGGTTGTTCGAAGTAGAAGACATGAAGCAATTACGGGGGTTTGACCATAGGTATCTTAGTTGCAATGCTCAAGTTTTGTGTAATCACTGTGTGAGCAATGTTTAAGTCATGAGAAGGTTACTAGGGAAGACTGGCAAGTAGATTGATGAAGTTGTGAACGTTAGTAGACTGAGATGGCTCCGACATATATTGTGCATGTTTATCTACCACTTACCTTGAGGTGATATGCTGAGGGAAGTTGGATTAAGCTGGAACAAAGTTCAGGGTAACTAGAACAGAACATGGCACCAGTCAATGGCTGTTGGTCTGAACCGTTTAGGGTGATGCAGGCTAACTAGCTCCGTTCTGCAAGGCGGAAGGAAACAGTGAATGACGACTTTAGCTTCAAAGCTGATAAGCGGTCACTGTGACACAGATGTCTTCTCTCTTTGACGTTTGCACTTGCCCTTGTCTTCAAATTGTTTATTCTTTGACGCAATTTTGTCTACTTTTGTATCAGTCTTTTTCTGTCTTCCTCTTCTTTGTATACTGCTGTGAAGTGTAGCGACTTGAACAGATGTGTGCGAGGTTCTACTCTGATTTTGTCTGTCTGCCTGTTTATAAAAGTGCGGAGTCCCTGTAGCTTGATTAAATGAATGCAACCTTCTGCAAAAACTAACCACCATATTTCTGAAGGACAGCATGTTTATTATTTTACCGTGCCTACCCTAAACGCATGAAGTAAATTCTTTAGTTATACAGGACTAACCAATCTAAACAGACAAGATGATTGATACACTAACCTGTACTAATAAAAGTAAGTAGTAATCTTTATATGCGAATGTTTTCATTTAAAAAAATAGTGATCAGGTTGCTATGCTTGATGACCACTGTTTTGCTACTCATGATTTAACCAAGTAAAAGACGTAGCAACCAATGAGTGAGACGTGCGAGTAATAACTCTGTATCTCAGAGATGCAGAGCGAATAGTTTTAACTGCGGACAAGTAAATATATCATAGTAGAAGCGGAGAAGATAATAATGTCTTTAGTGAGTCAAGTGAGAGGATACAACAGACAGTATGAATGACTTACCTCTAACGCTTTCAATCATTGTAAAAACTCATATTTTTCTAACACTTCTTAAGTTCAGACTACCTTAGATACGACAAGATAATCAAGTACGTTTTCAGCTGAATATCTCTTTACGTAAACTGTTTTCACAGCACAGGTTACATTAACTATACTTGCTAGGTAGTGTCAGGTTGTCATTTGCTTGGTGATGCTTAGCAATGAAATTCGGCATCCTGTTTCATCTTGGTGGGAACAGCATCACTCACATCTAGCCGACGAATCCTAAACGGCTTGAGATATTGTCGTGTAGTTAACATCTTTTCAACCGTTTCTGAGACAACTATTAAGCTTCAAATTGGAACCAGATTTTTGATCAGTGAGTCTTGGTTTACGGCAAGCTGGGTTACTTTGGTTGAGTTCTTTAAACAATTTCTCTGCCTTAGATTATTTACATGCTAAGATACTTTGCAGATAAGCGTTTAAAATCCTAAATTCTACCAGTAGGCGAATACTTGTTCAGACCATCCAGAAGTGGGCGCTTTTATTTGGTAGACGTTTTTTAATACTAGTAAAAACGATATCTAGGATAATCTCTGATCAAATTCTAATCGAAACTCTACAATACAGCAAAGTATTTGGCTGAAATTGTTTCATCAAGTCTTTGACTTTCTGACGTTTCATCTTCATGAAGATTTAAATTGCCAACTTATTTCTAAATGCCTAGGTGTTTATTGTCAAGTGTCTAACATGAAGCCTTCAATCAGAATAACAACCAAATGCAACCTCATTTTACTCCGTACCACTTCAACTACATTTGCTACCGAGTGACAGAAAGTGTTGTTAATTTATGCCTACCTTAAAAAATATTTACCTTCTACCAGTTACTGTTTAGTAAATAAGTAGAAACTCAAGTATTTAACATTTATCGCAAAATATAAAAAAGAATGGTTCTACTTTAACACACGTTTTCTCACTACCAAATTTATTGTTTGCAATAATTTGAAATTATTAGTTTATGAATTTCTCCGCTGAACTATAATTTCATTTTGTCTGGCTTAGTAATTCTTATATTTTTACCTTTATTTTTTAGTTATTCTTTAAGGTCCCAAATGTTCGCGATAATTATTCATTCAAGGATTTATTCTTTTGCCTGCGTAAAGATAACTTAAGCAAACTACTAAATGATATCTTTGTGCTTATTACTAAGTTGAATTTACCAACATTTCCTATTGATAACATTTGATTCTTCTCCTTAAATAAACTCTCTGATGAACTCAGTTTTGAAATGTTGACAGCTTAGAGTTTCTACTTTTTAATGACTGACATTAAGCAACAAGCTTATGTCATATTTTCTCTGCTGATAACTTTTGAAAAACAAACATTGACACATTGCTAGATAAATTACGCTCAAGAATAAATTCATCATTTTCTGACTTCTCCCAGTTTAGTCACGTTTCGAGTTAAATATCTTATTTTACTTAAGTTCATCTTTAACTTTGAATGCCTACCGACACCAACTGAGACGACTAGTCGTTGTACTTATAGCAGACGTAATCAGAACAAGTCGCTAACACCTGTTACCTGTTCCTTCAGTACCATTTTTGGTCGTTCAAAGTAATAACAGTGTGGAGCAACAACTGCATGATTTGTTGGCGCAAGTGGTTGGAAAAGCAGGTACATCTGTTTTTCATTTGGGTATCTTCTTATTTTAGAACTGAACTTAGCACCTTAATAAGCATCATAGTAATAGTAAACTGACCCTGGTTTCAAAGATAATTTCACGGAGGAAGACTTGAAGTGACAACAAATTGTTTCGAACATACTAAGGTAGCTTAAGCTTCCTAATTGCTAAGAGCTCGACAAATATGAGGATTCTTTCCTGATACGTCTTATAAATAGGTTAAGAGAATGTAGAACATCAATCCATTGACCTCTTTGAATGAAATGTGTTGCTGTCGAAGCGCTAGAGCGTTTACTTTTAAATTTCATGGGTTCAGATGATTTGAGTTACTTTCGAAGCCCTTTGGAATATGCTCCGAAGCTCTTACTTTCATGGATCTATGACTCCTACCTATATAGGTATCACCAAAAGTATATTGAAATTGACCTGGCCTGGCGTGTGATGTCCCCAAACCGTCTTCTTAGTGCACGCCCAATCCAATCTAATCCAATCAAATCCATCTCCACTTTCTTCTGCATATTTGTTGGGTGATGGGTTCAGGGTTGGTGGATTGTCAGCCAGCCAGCCAGCCAGCCAGCCAGCCAGCCAGCCAGCCAGCCAGCCAGCCAGCCAGCCAGCCAGCCAGCCAGCCAGCCAGCCAGCCAGCCAGCCAGCCAGCCAGCCAGCCAGCCAGCCAGCCAGCCAGCCAGCCAGCCAGCCAGCCAGCCAGCCAGCCAGCCAGCCAGCCAGCCAGCCAGCCAGCCAGCCAGCCAGCCAGCCAGCCAGCCAGCCAGCCAGCCAGCCAGCCAGCCAGCCAGCCAGCCAGCCAGCCAGCCAGAGTTCCTTCTTATTATTCTGGACATCTGATCTTCAGTATCGAGTGAACGTAGGTGACAGCTGTTGACGACGTTTATCTGTAGTTTGTTGGAAATGCTTTTCATAATGCGCCAAGTTTCTCAACCATCACATAGAAGCACCGACTTACTTAGTATCAGTGTTGAAAATCCAGGTCATGTTATTTATGCTGAGTGGAGTACAGTAGACCTCCATACTGATTTCAGATTAATGAAGGCCTGTATTACTATGTTTCCGATCCTGGCTTTGACGTCCTCGTCTGCGCCACCTGTAGTTGAGAGGATGCTACCTAGACGAGTAGGTGAAAGAGACTACTTCCTTGAGATTTCTCCCGTTGATGGTGGTTTTTTGCTTGTTGTTGTTGGTTGGGTATCTTCATTACCTCTGTCTTCTCTATATTCACTTGAAGTCCCGTCTTCGCTGCCTCGCATCTTCTGTCATCTTGTTGGATCTTGCCTGTACATCTCCGAGTTTGTGTTACATTAGACACAAGTCATCGGTGGAATCCAAACCTTCTAGGGTCTTTTCATCAGTCCAGCCAGCCAGCCTATGCCCCTCTTCTCACTCCTCACAATTTCTTGAATGATCCAGTCCAGTCCAGTCAACCACAATCAGGAAGATCATTGGTGATAGTTGGAGGTAGACTTGTCTTACTCCTGTCTTCACTTCGAAGGCGTCACTGAGTTGAGTTTTCCATTGTGAACCACTTGGCACGTGGCATCTTCATATAGCTAGCTGTTGGATGAGGTTGATAAAGATTTGTGACACTAGAACCGTCGTGTTGAAGTAGTTTCCAAATTACTTCTCAGTCGACGCTTTCTAGTGCCTTTTCAAAGTCGATTAAGTTGAGGTAAGGTAAGGAGCTGACCGCCATTCTACGCTCTGTTCTATGATGATGCATAGCGTTTCAATTTGATCCGCACATGATTTTTACTTCCAGAATCCAGTCTATTCTGGCGATTACGCTGGTTAAAAATTTATTTCCTTGAGATCATTGGTCTGATTTTGAAATATCTTATGTAGACTATAGACTGTATGCAGCTGAAGAGTATTTTTGAAGTGAAATGATATCATTTCATCCTAAAAATTTATTTCTTCCTGCTTTATCCAGACATAACGTGGAATCTAACTGGATGACATTATTTCCAGTGTATAAATGTAGAGTAATTTTTCCTAGACTGACTTGCCGACATCCCTAACTTTCTGGTTGCAAAACTGGTGTACATCTCTATGAATATTCGACCAGGAAATGAATTTTTAAAAGAATACGATACACCTTGTGTTAACGAACAGTGAAAACAAAATATCTAATTTGTTAGAAATATATATATATATATATCATACACTTTACTTGTGATTCTAAAAATCTGATGGAATCAAAAATTCTGCAGTTGATTTCAGCAAAATCTTAAATATTATTTTCATTCTTTGGTTAATTTTTTCTACTTCCTTCAGTAATATCCGTGAATTATTTACATTGGTTTGATATGTCCTTATTCTATCGATTTGATGACTGATTATAGATTCCTCTAGTATACAATCATCTTGTTGTACACAGACTGGTTGTGTAAATCTGAATTGAGCTGCACTGACAAAATACGATTTATGTTTTAGTAAACATTTTGTATAGGACAGGATGAGACTCTTAGGAAAAAAGGTAAAAATATCACTTTGATAAATGCGTATTTAGAATATTGCTTGATCCAAGAAAAATAGTTATTAGGACTCGTATGTTAACTTTAAGTAACTTTTGTGTAAGCTACATTGTTCTTATTTATCAACTAGTATGCACTTATGTGAAGACTTAATCGTTTACCGTTTAATGAATCGATGCTACTTTACTCGTAAAAGATTATCAAGGTTCATTTTAAATATGAAAAATGAAAATATAAGGATTCACCTTTTAAATCTGTTGAATCTTCTCATAATGGTTAACAAAGTGCACCGAAGTTCCATAGTGCCTAGCACAAAGGTCATATTCAGCACTTGGTAGTCTGATTCGGACAGCATTTCGGTATAGGCAGTTATACTGTTTACCGTCGAGTTACCAATTCGCAAGCATTGATTTGTTCAAAAGTAGGTTATTACTGTGAATTTATTCATTCGCAACGCCTTGACATTGGCATAAGACAGTAACCACTTCCATTTATAATTGCTAGTTAGTATGAATCTCTACGACTTTTAAGATAGGATTCGTGGGTTCTAAGTTTCACAAAGACAATGTTAGCATCTTTTCATATTTGAGAATCTCTATACTCTTATATCACAATGATTATCTTTTGGTTTTGTTGGTAGGAATTTGACCACATTCCTCGTCTATGAGCTATCCCTTACCACAACTTTCTGTTTCAGCCCAGTAATGTTTACTTCGATAAATTAGACTAATCAATAATTAGTGGACTCAAGTTGGCGTTTTGAAGGAATTCAAGGATATAAACTGACGGGTAGATTTTATTCTTGCTTAATAATAATATTAATAAACTGGAGAATAAAAAATATTTGAAATTAGATGCATAATAATATTAGCTACAAATAATTTTTAAAATAAGATTATGATGACACTATACTACTACAAAAAACAGTTTCTTTTTAAAAAATACTAATATGAAAACAAATCACTGACTACCACAATGTTTGTCAGTGGTTCAGATTTTCATGTTCACTTGCTGTTGGATAAGGAGTATGGTCTTAATGGCATACAAAATCTGTTTAAAATCCACCTTTCATAATAGAGAACAAGTATCTACACATTTGAAATTCTTGCTAATGGATATATTTCATATAGGAAGTAAGCTATTTGTAGCTCAGGTAGATGATCTTTGTGTTGTCACGTTCACTGAGCTGGGTGGCTTAATCGTGAAGCTGTCATTGTCTTTCCAGACAACTAACTTCATATTGAAGTTGTTGCTGGTGGTTTTGTCTAGAAAGACAATGAAAGCTCCATGATTCAACCACACAGCTCAGAAAATGTGACACACACAAGAAAGTAAACTAGCTATCGAGGTTATGTTGTTGTATTGACTCAGATGATGAGAAAATGTATTACAGATGTTCAGTTTCTGCTTATCTTAATATGCTTGATGCCTGCTTGAAGCGAAGTGGGATCTAAACAGTCGTGAACAGAAACGTATTACAAATCTGTGAAAGCATTAATTGCCATTGTGAGTCCATAAGTGAACTGGGATTTGAATTTTGGCATATCCAGCTTAACAAAAGTTAGTAATTCGATATTTCTGCAACTCAGTTCAAAATCATGTGCACTTGAGATACAGTATCCAAAACACATGGAAGCAATCAGAGATCCCATTTAACGTTATGTTAGCTGAAGGCTTTATTCCTCTCATATATTTTTATATTATTATTCTGTTCAGATGATGTATCCTTTTGCTGGGTTGTAACTTGGATCTATTCATAGCACTACTGAATAAGTAGTTTTTTCACCACTTAGAATAACTCTAATAACCAGTAAGACTCATAATAGGAAAATTGGCATCTTTCGTGCTGCTTGCAAAGTCAAAAAAATCTAGTGTTCGGTCTATTCATAGTAAACGTACCTGTAGGCTCTCCGATGACTTTATTAAGTCGCTACATAATTCATTGATTCTGTTGAATGATTCCACATCACCCAGTTTGTTTGCTGTATGATCGGAAAACAAGCTAATCTTCATTTTATAACGGAAGGACCTTTCCAGTTTCCAATTGTAGTTCCCTATATTTAAAATAGGCATGAGGAAGTATGATAAAAGCGTAATTTAACACACTGTAAACAAGAGATAGCCTAAGGAGTATTTTTAAATACACATTCCTTTTCACCACTGCAACGATTTCTGAGTTCGTAGAAGGCTTACCAAAAGGAAAAAGTTAGGGCGAACTCAAATTTTTGTCAAGCCTATTCATTTTATGGTGGAATGAAAACACTTGATTGCAGCTTTGATAGATCATTATTTTTTATTGTAGCTCAGATGGTTTAGCGTTGGGTCGGAAAGCCGGTGGTCGCTGGTTAGGATCTGACTGCGGCCCAATTTTTCATTTCAGCTTCAGTCATCATTGAGTATAGATCATTATTTGTTGATCTTGATTTGCAAAATATTATAAAGGGGTCCAATTGTATGAGATCACTACACATTAGTTACGCTTGTTGCTAGACCTGGTTTACCAGAAGCATAATGAAAACAAACCACAGATTTTGGTGTTAAAAAATTGAAATCAATTTCTATGCCTGAGGTTCTGTTAGGAAGATGTTTTACTTGTAATACAACCCAAAATTTAAGTCTTTTCAAAAAGATATTCTTTCCATATAACTATTGTGTCTGAACTTACCCGTTTGAATAAGCTCAGTTTGGACTTTAGCCATTGATATAAGTGAAGCAAAATGACATCTGAATTTGCATATCAGTAATAAATATGCACAGTTTTGACTTGAAATAATGCTAAGTTATTGCTCTTATTAAATTCTAAGATAATTTTTATTTGAATGAAATGATCACTTTTCAAGCTTACGAAAGTGAATTATCACTGTCGTATTCACAAAACTTTATTGAGATATGACAATTAGATATGATGGAAAATTTTAGTTTTTGGCAGGAATCAAAATCTGTGACTTTCAAATCATTTTCTAGCAGTTCTATCAAATCTGTTGCAACTGCTAGCTGTAATCCATGTTTCAGCTACCCATGCTTCATTTCAGTTGCTACCTACTAATATATTTTCATTCCAATTCAGATATTTGTGAATTCGAGATAGTCAGTCACTAACTGTTTGCTACTCAGGCTATCTGAGCTGGTGTTATTTGGCACATTGGTCTCTGTGTTCATAAATCATGATTTACTAAGTCAGCAAGCAGACTATGTAGCACAGTAGCTAAATCTTCAGGCTCGAAATCTGAATGCCCGTGTTTTGAATTTATGCCAAAATAAAGTTTTCTGTCAATTTCTTTCATCATTCTTGAATCTGAAGTTCAATCTATCAGAACAGGAGTGTCTTAAATAATCCATTAAATGATTATTTGGCCTAATTTAGATTTCAGTGAGACCCGGGAAATTATTCACATACAATTTAAATTCGACTAGTCACAGATCGTGAAATGAATGTTAGTTAACAAACAAAAGCTTAGTACATTTTTGTTATTTACTTTTCACTTGAACTAACCAACCTACATTACAAACATATGCAAAATATCAGAAATATTTCCGATTTCTGTATTAAATTTTTATATCATGAAATTTGCATAATAAAAAAGTAATCATAGAATGAACTGGTATGAAATGCAAAGTGTGTCAGTTAAGGTCTTGTTTAAATAAGTAACGTTTTCAAGCACTCATTAACAAGATGAACTAAACATGTTGAAGAAATTTGTATTTCTGTCAGATTCAGGACCATAACGGGACAGAGTGCCACCAAAATATTACACATTTTTCAGGTGTCTAAACTATAGGGTTGTATGAATGAAATGGTTGCCTGATCGTAAACAACTTGATGATATCATTCATTAATTTCTACCGATTGTATGGTGCGTTTTAATGCTGAGATCGGTGATATCCAATATAAGAGAAAGTTGACAATACATAAACTTCATGGCAACTTTGAGTCGCTCAGCTTGAAATCAATAGGATATTCTTTGATCGATAAATTTAAATAATTATGGAACGCGAAACCTCATGTTGGTTTTCACTGTAGATAGATATGAGATCAAGAACCAAATAAAAACAAAGAGTATTGAACATCTGTCTCATCCTAGTTCGCTATCTCTTGTCAGAGAGGAACTATTTTATAACATCTGCCGATTCGCAGTTTAGTATGACTGTCATCCAGTGTCAACAGTGAGCACTTGTGTTTGCTTCCAACATATTCCAGCTACTATTTAGGACTTCTCATTGGAACTTTGGTAGAGCCATGTTTCAGTCGGTAACCAGTTATGAACTGATTACTATTCGTTTTGGAAGTTCATGGGGTAATTGACTCACTTGATGAATGATGTCAATCTGAGATGGAAACTACTTAACTAAGAAGTGAAGCATCCTTTAGTTTTCAAAAAAGGGTTCATTTTACACGAAGTAAATTACTAGAGGCAAAACGTTTGTGATTCGAAAAATTAGGAATTCTAATTTACACTTACCCAAGTCAATTCTTAGTCTAGCCAAAGCTTCATTTAACTTTTCTTCATCACTTTCACAGGAAGAACCACGAGTAAACTGTTGGTAGACTGAAAGCATTTCATGATGAAATCTTCTTAAATTTACCATGTCATTGTTAATTATCTGAATATTAGAAAAATTAGGTTGTTTAAGGCAACCGAAAAACAGTCAAAATCAACCTTAGTTTAGTTGATTTTTATGATCCATTAAAGTGGTAGGTGGGATGAGAAAATTTATGCTTGGTACAAATGAGTTAGGCAGTAAACATTTTAAAGTCAGTATTGAGTTGAACCTCACCTGGTTAACTACTTCACTAGTTACTAGCTGGTCCTAAGCCCGGGTAAAGAGGGAAGGTTAGGCATAGGGCTAGCAATCCTACACCGTAAAATAAATCCAACCGCTAAACAAACTTCAAAGCACAAACGAAATATAAAAAATAATAACAAAATTACTCCTCGCTGGAATCGGAGAGGCGAAATGACCCCGGTTGGTGAAAGCCTTCCTTCGGGAAGCCAATTCACAGGCCCCTGTGTCTTCTCTTCTCTCGATGAAAGCGAAAGTAAACGTGGGAACACGGAATGTCTGCACCACGTTTGAACCCAGCAAGGCAGCCCACATTGCAAACGAGATCAAGAGGTATCACATTGAAGTGCTAGGAATTGGCGAAAGCAGATGGAGTGGAAGTGGACTCTCCAAACTGTCAACTGCAGAATCAATAATCTACTCCGACATTGTCACACAGACGACAACCACGAGCACACTGAGTTCTCGAGTGGCTATCATCATGTCCCCAACAGCACCAAAGGCTCTCATGCAGTGGGAACCAATCTCCTCATGCAGGATCATGACAGCAAGATGGATTCAACTCAAAGGCAAGGAAGGTCACAATCATACAATGCTACATACACTACGCTATGCACCTACAAGTAATGCAGACGAAGAGAAGAAGGAGGAATTCTACAGACAACTGCAATCAACACTGGACAAGACCACAACTCAGTTGGCGACATCAAAATTCTAATGGCTGGGGTGACATGAATGCCAAACTGCATGGAGCGGAAAACACAGGAAGAGAACTAACTATGGGCCGAGAAGCGCTAGGTGAGGTGATGAACGAGAATGGAGAATTGTTTGCGGAATTCTGTGCATTCAACGATTTGGTGATTGGAGTCAGGCAGTGTGTTCAAGCACAAGGATATCCACAAAGCCAGCGACATGGATTTGATTTCACCAGACACCAGGAAACACTGAAAATCAAATCGATTTTATCTCAATCTCAAGAAAGTGGAGATGCAGCCCACTTGACACAAGGTCAAGAAGAGGAGCAGATGTAGGCTTACATCACTCACTATCTAGTGCAAGGAACCTACCTTCAAAATCAAGTTAACAGCCTTCAAGGAAGCTGGTGATAGACCACAGTTCAAGTACAACACCCAGAACAGAAACTGCACTTAAGGACGAAACTACAAAGGACATCTTCACATCAGTCAGCCATCAAGACAAAATGGGAGATATCAAAACATCCCTGAAGAAACCTGTGTGGATGAACACTGGAAGTCCTTGAAAGAGATGTGGAAAGAAACCTGCATAACCGTGTTAGGAAGGAAGAAGAAAGAAGATAAGGAATGGATCTCGATGGACACATGGAAGCTGATAGAGCAGGGAGAGGAGGATGGTGAAGCAGAAGATAAACCAGTGCAAGGCTGCACAACGAGAAGAGGAACTGAGTACAATGTATAAAACACTTCACTGGACAAAGAAGTGAAGAAGAGTGCGCACAGAGATAAAAGACACTTCTACGACACACTTGCAAGTGAAGCAGAACAGACTGCAGGTAGGAGAGATAGAGACCTGACAACATTGTATCAAATAACCAGGTTACTGTCTATCTGGAAGAGACCAACACAGATGAGACCAATAAAAGATGATGAAGGAAGTTTAATTACCAAAGAGGAGAAACAAAGGAAATGATGGGCCGACCACTTCAAGAAGCTCTTGAATCAACCACCAGCACCACCACCACCACCTGCACTTCGTCCAGAAATACCACCAGCACCCTAGCCACAGAACTACAAGTGAACATAAATCCTCCAACGAAAGTCGAAGTCCTGAGCGCCGTAAAGCTACTGAAATGTGGGAAAGCAGGGGGACCAGATGGAATACTGCCAGAAGCACAGAGAACAGATGCAGAGACAGACAACAGCAGATATGTTCACACCACTACTGTGGAAGGTCTGTAATGAACGAAAGGTGCCTGCTCATTGATTGTAAGAAGAATTACCTTGTCAAACTCGCGAAGAAGGGCGACCTAAGTCTTTGCAAGAACTGGCATGGAATGATGCTCCTTCCCACTGACAAGCAAAATATTTAGCCGCACCATCCTGGAGATCCTCAATGATGCACTGGATTCAAAACGACAACTGGAACAGACTGGCTGGATTCAGGAAGTACAATTCATGTGCAGACCAAATTGCAACGCTTCGCATCATCATAGAACAGAGCACAGAATGGCACTCAACTCTTCACCTTACCTCAACTTCATCGACTTTGAGAAGGCATTCGACAGCGTCGACCGACAAGTAAGTTGGCAGTTGCTCCAACACTACGGAATACCGCAAACTTTTATCAGCCTCATTCAACAACTAGCTATATGAAGACGCCACATGTCGGCCAAGTAATTCACAATGGACAGCTCAGCTCAGTGATGCCTCTGAAGTGAAGACAGAAGTAAAACAAGGCTGCCTACTATCACCCATTATATTCTTGATTGTGTTGTGGTCGACTGGATCATGCAACAAACAGTGAGGAGCTGTAAGAGGAGGGGGATTCGCTGGACTGCGGAAAATGACCTAGAAGACTTGGATTTCGCCAATGATGACTTGTGTCTAATGTCTTTTCGCACAAACTGGAAGATGTACAGGTGGAAACTAACAAGTTGACAGAAGAGTCAAGGCAGCGAAGATGGGACTTCAAGTGAATCTAGAGAAGACAGAGGTGATGAAGATACCCAACCAACAACACCACCATCACCACCACCACCAACAACAAACTCCAATCACTATCAACGGGAGAAACTTAAAGGAAGTAGCCTCCTTCACCTACACCTATCTAGGAAGCACTGTTTCAACTACACGTGGTGGCACAGGCACAGACGAGGATGTCAAAGTCATGATCGGAAATACAGCAAGACAGGCCTTCATTAGCCTGAAACCAGATGTGGAGACGTGCTAATGAAGCCCTATGTCCTACCAGGAACCATGGGACAAATACTAACTATAATAGTATTGAGTTGTTTGATTGAATAGTTTTCAATGCAGATTGAGTTGAAACGAAAATAAGCAAGCTTCAAACCTAAATATATTGACTAGCTTTGCCATGCAATATAGAATCCTAATCACCACACATCAGACTTTTGTTTCCAAACTAGAAAGTTCTAAATTAAATTTCACTACTTATTTGGGGATATATATTGTTCCGTAGGTGACAATTAATTTGAAAGAAGTAGTCAATGTTTCAAATTTTAGCTAATTTTTTTCAAGTTCTGTCAGATGTTTAAAGATTCTTGTCTTAGAATTAACCATCCATTTAACTTTATCACGACGAACAATTATGTATCGCCCAGCAATTACTCATTATGTAGAGGAGGCTTCACTGGTTTAATACAAAAACTTTGATTTTCGCTACTATGGGTGGCAGATTTAAATACTTTGAAAAGCATGAGTTTCTTAGAAGTTGAAGATAATTTTTCACTGATAAATATCAAGCAGGACGAAATCTAGGTCAAGCAAGGCCTCCTGTCAATCGAGTTTGACCTTTAAAAACTGAAGAAAAATAGGTGTATCCATATCCAAAGCATCAACCATTAAGAATTGACTAAGAAGAATGGAGAAGAAAACATTCTCACCAATGTTTCTTGAAATCTAGGTACAAGGTATAGTAGGCTGTCGTCTACTGAACGTCGGAATGGTGTTGTGTTTAGGATTTTACAAGTTGGTACATCAATATGTATCACTAGCATCAGTGAGAAGCTGTTCTTCGTTAGGTTCAAGTAATCTGAATACTAGATAGTAGCTTTACTGTTTCACTTTACCATATTTTCAAGGAAGTTATAACTGTAAGAAGTAGTTTAATCATTCGACAGCAGGATATTTTTAAGATTCTGAATTTACTATGTTACTTTCCAGCTCTAAATCAGATCAGTGTCAATCTCCAACCAGTTTCAGTCAGTATGAAAGGCGGGTGTCAATGACTTTCAAGTACCGCTTATCATCACCTATCATGTTTAACACTAAGTAAACAATTAAAGAACATTATTCAAAGTACGTGGTGCTTATCAACATTTCTTACAACTCAGTGATCTCATTAACTTTAAACTGTGGCGTCAAAATGATTAGGATGACACTGTTTTTATTATTATATTTTTTCTACATACAGATTCGATGCAGATGCCAGCCAAATGTCCATTTTCACTAGCACTGGATGTTCACTTCATTTCTTGATGACTTTCATAATTAATGTAGATCTTGACAACTTGATTGTAGTGTTTAGGGCTTAGATGTGATCACTTGGTACTCAGTAATCACTAATTTTTGAGTCAGTTTACTGTTATCATTACATTTATTTGCAAACCACCAATTTATTGTACTTCTAAACTTCATCACATATTATTACTTTAAAAATAATGTATATATATATATATATATATATATATATATATATATATTGGCTACTAAGAAGCAGTCTGCAGGAAGCCTAGGGCCTAGGTTTCATGCTTGTTGGCGCTTGTCAGCAAGGTGTATCTGAAACCTCGAGGAAAGTAATGTTCCTTGTGAGGTTTGGACCCATATCACTCAATGTTGCAGTCATCGACGTTGTCACTGAGCTATTCAGGTTCCAACTGACCTTCTGATGACCACCTCTGACCAACTAACATCTATTCAACTGCTCAGTGATAGTGAGTCTCCTAGCTTGGTGGCCACATTACAGAATAATCGGTTGAATTAGGCCAGCACTCAGGACTAGACAACATGAGATTGGTTGCCCTCCAGGGACCAGTCAATATATATAGTTTGATGTTAAGAGTGAATTTATGTCCTGCTTGATCAAGGAATCATACTTGTTAATATTCCTCGGTAAGACGTATCTGTAAACTTCAAGCAACATATGTCTCCTACTAGTTTTGAACAATATCACTTAGTGCCAAAGTTATTCAACTTGATGGTAACATTGAAAAAATAATTAGTTCATCTCTACCTTCACTTACCACATTTTAATTGGCTGTTACATCAGCTGCCATTTGAATGATCGAATTTTGTGCATAATATGGCCCTATAGATGGTCATTTGCAACCTGAACAGCTTGGTGACATTGCTTCTTACTTCAGCAAGGACTCAGGTTGGAACTATCCAGGGAACACGGATTTTCGTAAGGTTAAAATATATGCCTCGTTATTGAGTAAGAACAAGCAGGAAACCAAGACCCTGTTTTTCGTTTGAACTCGCACATCACACAAAAGTAAAGTGCACTTCAGTGTATCGACACGGCTTAGTGGCTGTACTGCAAAAAATGATTGACACATTTTGTTTAGTACTCAACATTTAGGGCTTGATAACTGTATGGGTTAATATCCCTCGGCAAACTCGTGTATATATGACTTACTTCAACTAGACAGGTATTATGATGGGTGAACTGGTAGATTTATTCGTTTGTTTTACCTTATTTAAGGCTTTACAACAATAATATATTGGCTCGATATGAACTTACTAACCTCACATTCATTGTCAAGTTGTGGTATGCTGACTTTTTCTAATAATGCGACATCTGAAATAAACATTGACGAGAAAATTGTTTAGTCGTTTATCTAACAAAATTTCACACATGTTACCAAAATGATGCAAAATGAAGTAGAACTTTTTTTCTAACTCCCTCCAAATAAGTGTAAGAAATAAGCAGTATTTATTTTTCGCCTAAAGAGATGAAAACTAATATCATTGTTTTGAACAAAATGTTATACAACTTGGAGTCGATCTCTGTAATAAATGAAAACACTTCATAAGTTGCATGTGTCTTATCGATATACTTTCACAAAAATCATATGATGCTCCGTTGATTCCTACAACAGATTCACCTTGGATATGGAAACATCCGCATCATAGGCATCAGGTGTCCTGACTTCATAATTTCCTCCCAGGTAATAAGCGAACCATTGTTAAATGTAAAAAAGCAATCTGTGCAAAGCCGAATACTAACATCTACACCGCTTGCTAATTTGCAAGTTTATCTGGAAGTCTCACTCATCTGGAATTTTTCTACAGTGCTTTGAACCAGTTCATCAAGTTCGTCTTGGATTTCTAATGCTAAATGTTTGATGTAAGGGAAAAACTTGGGCGTTCTATATTAGATTGTTTATTTGATATGAATATGAGCAGTAAACTCTACTCGAAACGTCACCCAGTAAATTGTACTGTGTTACTGTGTGCGATATCAAATAAACAATCCAGTATAGAAATAAATGTTTGAATAAGGCTTCTGCGATCCCAAGGCAAACGCTGCTGCTACGCAGAAAACACAAAAAATAAAAACAAAATTTGTTGTTGATACTACATTAAAAAGTAACAATAATGATTATTAAGATTATGAATCTCATGTTATAGGCTGTCTAGTCGTGTGATACATCGTCTAAGGCATTTTCCAAGAAGTATTTCATTAAAAAGATAGCAAAAGATAGTGTTAACAGAAGCTATAGTTGAGAGTGAAAGGTGCGCGAAAGAATAAACAGAAGGAATTAAAATAAACAAAGGTTCAGGAGATGATACTTATGGAGGAAACCGGAAAGGATAAAATACAAACAGGAGAAGACAAGAAAAGCTCATCCTCCGATTTGTGAAGTTGCTAAACGCATATATAATATGACGAATATTCATGCGCAAAAGTAAATGCAAGACAACGTGGAATATGTATAATACTACTACTGATTGTTATTAAGTAGTATAAGGCTAAATGTGTAATTGCTACCATAAGGCGAAGTTTGCAGAAATCTAACAACTTACATGACTCAGTTTCGAGGTTTGTGGGGATTTCATTCATTGGTTTCAGTCCATGAAGAATAATAACCTGATTTTACTTAGTGCTGAGATGACCAGCGGAAAATCAGTTACTGTTATGCCGTGATGTGTATCAGATTCTTAACATACGTATGCAGGCATTTGGATGGGTTATAGATACGTTGTGAAATATTTCCGAAAACTTTTCACTCAGCTTTTGGTTCAACTATTTAATGACAGTCCGTGATGAATGCTATCATGAAATCAATAAATCCCTACAAATCTCAAGACTGAAATATTGAGTATCACTTTACCTTCAACTGGATAAGTGGAGATAATCTCGATGGGAAGGAAATAACAACTCACTATGGTTTCGTGAGAAGTCTTACAGTTCTATTTTCGTACCTTGTTAACTCCCGCAGCAAGAAAGTGTAGAAATCCTCTTTAAACTATGTTACTGTGCATAAAAGTGTGCCTAGAATCGCTAAAATATGTTACTGCTGTGACAATTGAAGGTTGGATCAGTTTTATGAGAGACATAAATTTCTACTAACCACATAGGATGGAATGAAACTGGAGAATACTTGCACAGTTCTTGCTGGTAGCTCAGGTTGTGGAGGGCTACCTAACTCTCTGAGCTTTGATTCTTGTAACAGAGCTTTCAGTGTGAGTCTAGATTTTAACTTCAGTGGCAATTGATAGTTTATCGACTTTGCTAATGATTATATTCTTTTTCTCTTCTGGTTATAACATTTGAAAAAAACAGTTAGAGATGACAGCTGTGTAGTGGTTCAAGAACAAACTTAAAAAAGTGTCTGCACTTTATTATTTTTACTTTATATTTTATTTACCTAGAGATTCGTCTATTCTCTATAAATCGTGCTTTTCAACCAAGCCAAATAAATTTAATGGCTTAGATATGTGTAGCTTTTTATTGGTCTGAAATAAGCCGGGTGCATAACTAGCTGAGATCTGTGACTTTATGATTAGGTTTCTTATGAAGCCCTGTGTCTTTGCACCTAAAATAGTTACCATGAATATTATTGGATGATGTGGTATTAAAATACGTGAGGATAGAAACCATCTTTCTTCTCATCGATGTTAGATATATGCGGGTCTTTTCAATAAACAGTTCTCCAAAAGATGATGTATCAGCTTACCTTACTTTACAGTTGCTTTTTAGACTAACGCTATGGGCTTCACTACTATAAGAATAATAATTTTTGACTGAAAACTTAAATTTTTTAATACATATACACACAGCTAAGTAACTAATTACTGACATCTACACTATTATCTTTGGAACTCTTAAGAATAACAGTTATGCTTTTGAAATGCTTTCACAATCAATGTAGAAGAAATTTGGTTAGGATAAATTATACGGCAAAGACGTGTACTGCTAAGAATATCTCAACACGAATGATGTCTCTTTTTAGCTGTCTGTTGTTTTCAATAATTTCTCCTCCTTCTAGAGTTTATCTTCACCAGCCATTACTTCTCCTGTACTATGGGAGATTGGATAGGAGAACGGCTTAGGTGATTGTCAGTCATTTAAACTTACCAAAATTATTATAAATGGATTTCCTCATTGCATTTTAGCACTTACTTTCTTCCATTTCAGCATTATCATTTGAATAAGTTCTGTAACGTAGACTTACGAACGGTTTCTTTTGTTGCATAGCTTGTTGTGCCATTAAAATGTGTTTTGTGTGTCGTTTCTCTTAAATACAAGATGAAAATAATTTATTTTGAATTTTATATTTACACAATATTGAAATAAATGTAAAAACTTCCGTCACGTGGACTATGCTGAATTTCTTAATGATTCAACTTAAGTGATTCGACATATGTTAGGTAAGGATGCTAGTTGGTTGGAAGCAGTCTGGATGAAGCCCCGCTTGATCTTGGTTTCGTGCTTGTTGGCACTCATCAGCACGGCGTATCTGCAATCTAAAAGGAAGTAATTTCACCTATGAGATCGAGACCGAAGTCACTTTGTGCTGCAGTCGAAGTCGTTACCTATGAGTTACTTGGGTCACGATCTACCTTCTGTAGGACTGGATTACATACACTGATGGACCAGTGGGGAGAAACCAATCTCACGTTGTCTAGTGCTGAGTGCTGACCAAACTTTATCGACCATTTTACAATGTGGCCACCAAGCTAAAAAATGCGTCATCGTGGTACGCTTGGAAAGTTGTTACTTGGTTGGATGCAGTCAGCAGGACTGGTGCTAACAACACGAAATATAGGTCTAAGGCTTCCTGTTGATTGCCTCCAAACAACTAACATCCATCAAAGTGCACCACGGAGGTGAGCCTCCTAGCTTGGGGACCGCATTTCATAATGATCGATAGAATTCGATCAGCACTTAGGACTAGAAAACATGAGATTGGTTGATCTTCAGTGACTAATCAATGTATATGTTATTTATGATTGTAAAACTGTCTACCACCGTGTAGTGTGCAGATTGTATTAGGATAGGATAATAAAACAGTTAGGGAAAACCATGACATGATATTAATCCATAAAGTACCGGTTAGTGGTTTAAACGGTATGACAGAAACCTCAGCTTTCTGGTGGAGGCCTGCAAAACAATAGGAATCAGTGGCTGAGGAATTTGGGTGAAATGAGTGATAATCAATTGTGATGGTGCAAATTCATTTACACATTACCTTCCCTTACATTGTGAAAATCTTAGTAGCATGTGTGCTGAACCTTTTCATCTCCTTTTCTTCTCATCTCATAGCTTTTGGCAGTAGCTGATAATAATAATTTGATTCTACTATCTATCCTGTTACTGACTTCCATCTTTAGATCCCAGTGCATTTCCTGGTTGCTTGGAACAATAAGCTGGTTTTGCACTGTTAATTAATCTCTGTTATTGCTTACATTTCTTCTGAAAGTTGACTTTTTGACTGTCATCCGATTGAATTGTATAAAATGTAACGAAATAGTTTGTCATGAGGAAATTTCTTATCTATATTCTTATTTTGCATGGTAAAGTGAAAGTGATGCACGAATAATCACAGCAAATGCTTAAATTGTAAAAAAGTGAAACTTGCAGACAGTCTACTGATTAACAAGACATTCCTTCCTTTTCTATGTTCTACATTTGGACAAAAATTATTTGCCTTACGGTTACTTTGCTTGTTACTGTTGCTACTGCTGCTATTAATACTATCAGCGTTAATATTGCGATTGCCTACTGTTCATATTACTATTACTACTACTACTACTTTAGCAATCTCTTATTCATTTCAACTATAATGTATTCATCAATTTTGGTTTTTGGTTTGATCATACTGATGATGGCGTAACATTAGCAGTCATGTGATAAATAAAAATAAGGGTTCAACCAGCAAAATAGACCGTTTTTAAAACTTGTCTAGTACGTTTATTTGTCATATGAAGAGTACAATGAAGTTCACAGAATATTAATGATTCATGCTTGCTTGTGGTACTAACTTAATTCATCTTCGTAAATGTAATGCTGTCACTAATCAGTAAAATATTAATATGCCGTATTCTATATCACATATTTTTACTGTTGGAATTTCATCTAGAAGATCTCACCATAAGCTAAGAGTAATCAGACATAGACTGCAAAGACCAATTACATAAATACACACTATTAACTCCTATCTAGATCTTTATTCCAATAAAAATTGAGACAAATTTGTTTAATTCAGTTTAGTAGTATTTTACTTTACTGTAATTTGTTAAGCACTAATATGACAGAATTATTGAACGACTGAACTCATTGATAAGATTATGTCAAACCATTTACATGAGTTCGAACCTCGATTAGTTCTGCTTCTCAAAAGTCAATATGGCTGAAGTATGGACCAATGGTTGAGAAACTCTCATTATTCTCACTGATATATACCTTCAGAATTATTAGTCTAACTGACACATATATTACCATTCAAAGTACCATAGCGTTTTCCAGCGGTTCAGTCATACTTTATTCATGGAATCTGAAATATGTTTTGACTAGTCATGACAACAAGCGAATAAATATTATCATGCGACTATTTACCATATGCATAAGTTTGAGATCAGTTTCTTTTTATTGGATGCGAACTGCAGTGTAGGGAATTACGTATAACCGTACACCATAGTTTTATCTGTTCAGTTAATATAGTTAGTGCCACCACGATTCAGATGGTAGAGGGTCAGATCAATAACCCATGGGTTGTTGGTCTGATTCCTGACAAGACAGAAGTTTCTGATTACATTAAGTTGTTACCCATGAATCTGAATGCATCTCTTACATTAAATTTAACATTATCCTCTAAATATCTTGCTGTTAGGTGATACGGATAACTCGACACAATAGAATAAGTTATGGAACCCCGGTGAATGCGTTTTTAAGGGTTTGACTGTATCTGACGTAAACAGAATAATTTTTCTATTTTGGTGTTAGGTTATTCTTCAGGTGATGCTATTATAGTATTGTAGCGTGTGTGGTTGTAAGTGATTCTGCTTCACCATAAATTCCAAAACTAGACTAGCTCGAAAAAGAAGTAGCAAAGTCTATCAACAATGCAATTCTATATCTCCCACCGAACATTGAGTATAAAGATTGAATATACCTTTTGTGTAAGATTTTGAGTCCCTGGCAATTTACCATAGGGCGTATTACTATCTATCCTATGCTACGAGCACCAGTACAAGTATGCCTGACTTACGTATTCACAAGCGCTATGTAGACTCTTTTGCCTTCTCCACAGTTAGATCAAAGATCTCTTAGTAAACGTTTTTCTTCCTTCCCAAAAATTTTCCTTTTATTTTCTTTTTATTTCATACCTTTTTTAATTTTACTTTTATCATTATCATTGCCACCTTTTATATGTATATTATAGTTATGTTTGGTATTACTGTATGCCGTTATTTAGCTTAATAATAACACCTGCCTTATTTGTGAATATTTTCGCAACATTTCATCTCTTTAAATTAGCTTTTGTCTCCATTGTTATATTCTCAAAAATAATTACCTGCACAATTTTCCATTGGTGTATGGCAATATTTCCAATCCACCTCGCATGTAACTGAGGCGCAGTTAACACTGAACAAACAATAAATAATCCCGTCTTTAAAAGTTAAATGCATTAAATTTCACCGCTTTATGATGCCAGGTGTCTAAATTCATTTTGTATCAGGCACAATTTTATGCATACCTTTCACTGATTATCGGATATCATTCATAAGTTCTGATGTCAGGTTGTAGTAGTCAATCGCAAAACATGCTTGACCAATCAATGTATAGGGACAAAATTAAATCTTCGTCGCGTGTGGGTGATGTCAGATTACAATTAGTATGCTTTGAGAGTGTTTCTTACACACGACTCGTAACTGGATGGTCACTTATATAACTATCAAGTTCAAAATACTGCCCAAATTATACTAATCAACATGAAACATGCAATGCACTGCAATCCTGTGTCCAATAGCTTACTGGTCATATTAAAAATTCTTTCAAACGACGTCTCTAGAGCTTAAGACATGATGGCCACATTCGTAATCATATTATATTTAGTTCCCATTCATGGACAAGTATTTTGCTTCCCCATTTTTGGCATGTAACATCAAATGGAAGTCATTAGGTTGACTGCTAATTAGAAAACTGGTGTCTGTCACTATATCTTACCCTCCTGGGTTACCGTCTAGTCCATTTATTAGAAACTTTAAGGATTTTAAGCTTGATTTAGAAACGGTTTTATACTTTTGAAAAAGAAGAGAACAGTTTTTCTCGTATTGAATTCTTTGAAGTCAAATATCATCGGTTACAAAGTCTGGACTTAAATATGGACGTAGGAAGCAGAAATTACGGCTTTTCACTCCTATAACCCTGTGAAGTCATCCCAACTTTTATCAAGTATTTAACCTAGCCTAGTTAATCTTCTTGAAGGTATTTTACCTCTTATATAAGTTTCATACAAGTGTGAGTAGATGCTCTAATGTGATTATAGTATTATACATGTCTACGCGAAAATGTCTGGTTCGCTTAATAAGAATTAGGTGAAAAATGACTATCGTAACCATCAATAAACAAATTTAGATCTTTTTTTTATTACACTTCACAGAGTGATGAGTAGAAATTTAAATACTAGTCAGACTTGCTCTCAGAGCTTCTTGGCGTCAATTTTTTCAAGTGTTGTTTATGCGATGGAGAGCTATCAAAATAATTAATCTAATGATTTGATAATTGACACAGACGACATTGACGGTACATTGGTGAGTAGATAGAAGTAATTCTTATAATGATGCCACTCAGCAACCACATTCAAACCTTCAAAGTAGGGAATGAGCTGAGCCTAATGTGTAAAGGGTGATTTTAATAACCGTATACCGAAAGCCTACCTGGTGAATTGGGATTTGAACTTATGGCTCATTAACTGAAAATCTGCCTTATAGACCGGAGTAGAACCAACGCCAATTTTTAAACCAAACTTCAAAAAACTACTAACCACCAACTTTAAATACTTAATTTGTCAACTAGATCACATCAATCTGAGATTTTTGTAAAATGTCTTAATTATTTTAATAATCCATGTGTCGTATGACACGGCAAACCGGTGCATTTGTCAGCTTTTGATTCTCAAAAGTTTTTCAACTGATAAAGTGATATTATCATGCCTAACGCATAACTTAATGGGATTATTAGGCGGGAACCAACACGCAGTATTAGGTCTTGTTGACCAAGTCAAAATATTT